TCTTTAAAATTGTGCCTGCCACAGATTTTCGTCCTTTGTGGGGGGCGGGGCGAAATTTTGAAATACACTTGTAGCAGTGTGATATCACATGAGTCTGGAAACCAAATTTGGTTACCCTAACAGACGGACGGACGGACGGACAGACAGACATGGCTATATCGACTCGGCTATTGATGCTGATCAAGAATATATGTACTTTATGGGGTCGGAAACGTTTCCTTCTCTGCGTTACACACATCCACTTTTACCACAAATCTAATATACCCCTTAACTCTTTTTTGAGTACGGGTATAAATATATTCATAAAAACTTATATGTAAGTAAAATGAATTTTAATAAAGTTATGAATGTATAATATTTTGTGTTGGACCGTGTTCGGAAAATTTTTAGCCGTGCGTGTTGGAAATTTTCATTTTCGTGCCGTGTTGTGTCGTGTCGGAAAAGTGCAGTCCATGCCCATCTCTAGCTCTAGTACACATATTAATATTTTTGTGGGACCAAAGCAATAAAGAAGCTAAAGGACTATCCCTCGTCACGTCACAACTACAATGTATATTCTATATCTTCTTCGCAAAGGTAGCGCATTGCACAGGGTAGAGTTTGTGCTAGCGAGAAAGAGAATGAGTGGTCTCGTGCGGGAGGAGGTGGGGGAAGCGACTAAAAATTAATTTCTTCATTTTGGCTATAATATTATATATATAGCCATATATATATAATATATTAGTCCTTTATGGTGGCGGAAGGGGGCAGGGCGAAATTTTGAAATACAAAATTTAACGTGCGTTAAGTTCAAAAAAGATTTTATTTAATGTTTTTGTTGTTGTTTTTTTTTAGGTCTCAACTCTTACGTTTAATGCTCAAGCAATGTTCTTTTAATATTTTAATAATTCAACCATCTTTACGATAAATTTCGTTTACTTGAAGGCGTTAAATTTAACAAAATGTTTACTTTTATATAGTTTTTTATGTGGCTTTTACTCTAGTCTTGATGAAAATATTGCACTGATGAATTAACTTCTGGATTCTGATTCTCAGCTATATGGTGTAGTCGTCTTTTCTTTTGTTTCCTTTCGCCGCTGCCCAATGACGTCCGATTTGGTGTAACAGTTTGTTTTTTATACTCAAAGAGTTAAGGGGTAGATTGTATTTGTGGTAAAAGTGGATTTGTGCAACGCAGAGAAGGAAACGTTTCCGACCCCATCAATTATATCAGGGGTGCCACAGAAATCACTTCCGCTGGAAAATCACCTCAATTCCATTCCGCCGTGCCACACACCGATTTTTCAGCGCAATCAAAATCGCTCACAGTTTATCCAGCGATTTGATAAAATACAACCATAAAACACACCTAAAACGATTCGAATATAACTTTCCCTTAAAGGTCGTTCAATTGGTGGTTAACCCTCATCCAAATAATTTAACATTATACATGTTAAGTTAATAAAATAAGCATTTTAGTAAATCACTATTCAATCCGCTGACTGAATTTTCACTTAACGATTCCGCTTTCAATCCGCTGCAGACAGTTAATACAGTAATGCCACCCTTTTTAAGTCGAATTCGGAGCAAGATATTTAATATTAATTATCTTGAAAGCATTCTGTTTTTCTTTATTTAAGCATTACTAAAAATAGTTCACTGTAGTAAAACTTCCTTTACGTCAAACGTGTGCATACTCTTTGTAAAAAGAGTACGTTGTGAAAACTTTTGTAGTCATTTCTAGTTCTACCAGGTGGCATCGCTTCAAAATGCCAAAACAAAACTAACAAACCATTTCTACACATTATTGCCATTGCATTTATGTCGAAAACCCCTGTTCGGCTAAGCGCAGACCCATGGCAGTACAAATAGAAGCATAGCGATCATTATAATAAAAACTAGTAATTGTAATGAACTAAATTAGCAGTAGTTTGAGAAGACAATCACAAAAACCACATACGTATCGTCTGAACGTGAAAACCAGTCTGATGCGCATCTGAGAAGCCTGCGCTGCAATATGTTGAAAGCAGTCTCGATAAAAGCATTTTAATTAAGTTTATCGTAAAATTTAGATGTGTGTTTTTTTTGAACAGCTGAACATGCATGGAGAGTTGCCAGACAACATTGTTTTGTTTGACTCGCACGATATGGGATGTTCTTTTGCTTTGAAATTATAAAAGTAAAGCTTTGAAAAATCAATTATTCTATATCATAATAGAAAAAAAAGAAAAACCAATTGTTTTGATATGATAAAATCAATAAAACTGTAAAATGAACCCTATATGAATTCAATCTTGAAAGGTGTCAATCCCAGCCTTAGTTCGAATTTATTTTGTGACAATGCTAAGAAAAATGAAATCGCTCGGAATTCTGTGGCACGGCGGAAATTTTGAAGCAGAAATCCTCTGCGGGGTTTCCCATTTCACTAGTGATTTCTGTGGCACCCCTGTATATATATTCTGAACCAGCATCAACAGCCGAGTCGATATGGCCATGTTTGTCTGTCCGTCTTGGTGAGCGCCTAGTTCTCAAAGACTATAAGAGCTAGATTAACCAAATTTTGTTTCCAGACTTATGTGATATCACACTGTTAAATTTTAATGTTTAATTTTTCTCGAAAAACACTGCCGGAGTTCCAGGAACAGTATGTTTCTTGACAGAGGCCGGCTGTGTCCCAGATATGCTCTGGCCAGCGCCGGCAGAAGGTTCATCACCTCGCTGGGACGAGGAAGAGTATGAACAGCTAGTAATCCCGTTGACGAAATAAATTTTGTGTCAGTACGTGTAATAAAATGCTTTTCATAATGGGAAAAAAGTCATAAAAAATCAAAATTTTTTGTAATAGATAAAAACACCGATTGATACAAACAATCTGGAGAAATTATACATGCACAATACACCCCTTTCCTATGAAGACCATGCAGTTAATCTGGGGATAACCTTCAATAGCACACTATAATAGAGTAACCATGTAACAAAAGCAAGCGGGCGTACGTATGGTATGTAGCGTCAACTATCAGGCTCTAATACTTTTTTGCCACATGAAATAAGACTATTTATTTCTAAAGTCATACTCATTTCTACTCTATTTTATGGTGTTTAAATATTTTACCATTGTAAAATGGGACAGACTCCCTTCTTTCTTAGGTATAAAGTCGTAAATTTTTGTAAAATCTCTTTTGAATTTAACTTAGCATTGTGAAAGCGCATTGGGTACATCGAATAAATAAAAACATTTAAGTGGCAACGGTGCATTTTTGCAGCGCTAACAAAGTTAGATGTTTGCTTAGCTGTTTGTCCACCAAAATTGGCGTGGAAGCTTTTAATTAACTTTTCGCTTTTTTTGTGGAAACACCAAGTATCCAACAAATCTTTGTTGAAAAAATGGAAAATAAAGGTCAAGGTATGCCAAATATAATTTTTAATGAACGATTTCGTATTTATACATTCAATGTTGTAGTTGTGGATTGTCGATCCAAAGTGGTTGTGTATTGTGGGCTAAACAATTAATTTCTGCCAATTTTTGACAAAAAGTATTTATGCAAATGTATACTCTGAACTGTTTTTGCCCAAGTTTGCCCTTCCTGTTCCTATTTGTCCCTTTAAGCCAAGCTTAAGTTAACACATTCTGTCCTAACGTTTGTGTGGATCATTTTAAATCTAAATGAACAAAGCGTTATTTGACTGGATAACACTACTCGACAAAATCGAACTTTTTTTACTCAAGGAACCAAACCGATTTTTTCTGATAGATTTGGGGCTTTCAAATTGTTTAAGAATTTTTTTTAATGGCAGAGTTTTTTAGATTTAGCTCGTCTTTTCTTCACATAACTTAAGTATCTTACATTTGGTTGTAACGAACTACGCAATTCTGCAAGACTAAGAACAGCAGCTATAAATATTACCCAATATTACTTTTGATTTCAGCTTACTGTTTGGGAAATATTAAGCTTTGAAATGAAAAGTTAATGATTTTTGTGTGATATTTTTTACGAAATTTTGAGTTTAAAAACTCAGGAAAAGTCGAAAAAAAATATATCCTGAGTCTTTTATTTTTTGCTGAATAGGTGCATTGATTCGGCGTCGTTTAAGATATTGCTCATTAAAATCTATGAAGAAAAAGAAGAGCTAAAATTGGTTGACCAAACCTCCGAAAATCACATTTTACCGTTTTACCGTTTCTGAACCACCAAGCAATGCTTGTTTTGAAATTTTTGAATTTTACATATAGCAAAATTTGAATTACATACCAAGTAAACAAACATTGCTTTGTGGTATACATATAAGATGGGGTATATTTACTGAAAACATCGTACTGTTAGCATTCTTTGAAATATTTTATTTATTAATAGCTTATTTTGTTAAGAATAGATGCCGCTAAAAAGTTCATGTCTGAAAATAAAACCATACGCTACAAAAACAAAATATTTTTTTTAAGACAAATACAAATTACATAAAAATTTGTTTGCATGTAGAACAAATTATTTCAAACGAACAAAAAAAATAGACATACTAATCTCTTCATTATCAGGTGGGCCACAGACTGTCAATTCAAACGAAATTTCAACTGAGTTGGTTTACTAGATGCCACAGAATTCTGTCTCGTTTGATTTTATAAACTCTAGTACTATGAATAGAAATTTGGTTGAAGTCACTGCTAAAACCAACATTACCCAAAGAAAATGTTACAGATTTAGAAAGTGGATCAAATTTCTGATTTATCTTAATTTAAGATTTTACTTGTTTTAGTCCCTTTATTTTCGTTTTAGTCTAGTCAAATCTCTAGAAGAGTTTCCATTAGGTGTCGGCGCACAAAAACAGTTCGAAAAAATTCTGACCACCTAGTTTTTCTGAAAATTTTATTTTTGTTGGATTGCTAAATTCGAATGATTATTTCCAGTTAATGGTTTTAAATTTAAGGAAAAAAACGACTTAAGTCTACATCATTTAAATTGTAAATATATTTGTAATTAATTGTGTGTTAACGTTAATGTCTAAGAGAAAAATATTTCTTTTCATAGAACTGGGCCTTCAGGTTGGAAATTCTATGCGATGACTGGCCCAACTTTATTAACAGTGGACAATCAATCCAAATTAAATTGCACACGGATTGTCGTAGCACAGTTGCCAACTGCAGGATTAGTGAAATGGATGCTTGATAATGGGATGTCTTGTCTTACTTAATCAAATAAAAAAGCATTATAAAAATCCTTGTTCACACGAGACTTATGGTGAAAGATTTTTTTTTTTAATTGTAAAAACAAAAAACCAAAGTTGATTCAGAAGTGGACAACGGTTCTGATGTCATTCTAAGCATCCTACTCTCTTGTTTAGGGCAGCAGCGCTGTTAATGCCATTAACTGTGTTTTGTTAGCTCGCGCACTCTCCCATGCCCTTCGCTCTCGAGCTGCGTGAATGCGATCCACCTGGGTCTCCATCACGGGCGCTAGCCGTAGGCCGATCTGTGGCTAAACCAGACAGATCAGTGCTTTTCCACCCCCGACAAAGCATACAAGCGGCGTTCCGAGCGCCAAGCTCCGCGTATATGTATATATAAATATCGGAAAATATGCAAGAAATATAAATTGAAGCACCATCCGACTACTTTATTGGGAATGACTGTCTTTGGGAACCGAAGCCGACCCGATCATCCCTACACCCTCTACTCTTTCTTCTTGTAATTTCCTTCTTCTAAGGTGGTATCTGGCTAGTAAACCGGCAACTGAGATTTCTCTTTTGAAACTGCTCACAAATTATGACCAAAAAGTAACCAAATGCAATATATATTAGTGTAACTTTATAAAAAATTGTCTTTCTCAGATCCTTAATGAAAAACAATTAATTTTATGGATTTAATTTTAAAATCTCTAGAGATTCCGATCCGGATTTTTCGGTTGACTTGGCAAATCTCTCGAGTCAAAATCTCTAAAGATTTCTGTGGCACCACTGCATGTGTTTTTTCGTTTTGGTTACTGCTTATTTCTCTTTGCGCCGTTGGTGTATGCTTTATTATTCATTGATCTAGCTGGTGATAAATTTAGCTGTGAAAGCTCAAAAAGATTATCATTCTTTATATTTTTATGGAATTATTTCGTTCAATAAATATTTTTTTTCCATTATCGTATATGTACAGTTGTGTTCAATGAAATAGTAGTGCCGCACCTCATCACTTTCAAAACTCTTTTTGAGACAATTCCAGTTATCCAAATTGAGCAAATGATACCTTTTTAAATAGACTGGACTGTTACCATTAGAAACCGCGCCCGTTTACAGCAAAGCCGAATACCCATGAAATTTGCTGTTCAATGAAATAGTAGTGTTTTTTTTAGAACATTGAAAAAAACAACGAATCTCAAATAAAAACATATATTTCATGTTCTTCATGTTTCTTGAGCTTTAATATTTAGTTTTTAATCTATTTGGTTTTCATTTCGAACTTGCACCGGCCGAACATGGGTCATTAATCTCTTGCCAACGCTTCAATAGGATTTTAGCCAATAATCCATGAACCACTTGCTAAAACTTGGCTCTGGTTCACGGATTTGCAGTTGCAATAATGTATTTGGTATTCCCCCATAAGATTTCGATGAGATTAATATCCAGTTGGACAGTTGGCCATGGCAAAACGTCGATCTTTTCCGATAACAATTAATTCCTAGCGAGCTTTTATGGGTGTTTCAAGTCATTATCCGGCTAAAATATCTTTTTAGCAGGAATTTTTCAACTGTAATATGAATGTAATGTATTCTAGAGTATGCCTACATCCCCAGTTTCGCTCAAAACCATACTATACTCAAACGCCAGGCCAGAAAGTACTAGCTCATATGAGCTGGGCCCCATAAGGCTCAGCCTAGCATGCCCAATGATATTTTTTTCATGATTTTGGGTGGTAATCGGATTTCTGTGAATGCCAAACATATTCTTTTGAGCCTATCTTACCATATAATACAACTTTACTATCATTAGTCAAAAGTATTTTTGTCACTGTGACACAGGCCATTCCACATGCGTTTTTCCAAACTGAAGTCGTGCACCCATGTACTCTCAGACCCAAACGCGGAGCTTTCTGGGACTTCTTGCATTCAAATAATGTGTAATCAACCGTCTACGAACTGACACATTACTGACAGAGCGATTAAAAATTTTTTTCATAATTTTTGAGGATATTGAAGGGGTGGGTCTTGCCATCGGCCATCGCCGACCATCCTCTAAAAAATATTTTTTTCGAATACAAAATCGATTTTCAGTCTACTTCTTATAGTTTATTAATTAAACACAATAGTGAGAGTGCACACAACTTAGTTTTCAATCCCATTATACCTCCTGCCTTAAGTTTTTAGTTTAACTCTTAGGTCTCCTCTTCTTGACCGAGCAATGATTTCTCCAACGCTTCAAAATCAAAAGTACCGCAATGTCCAAAACTGTCTTTCATCAAATTATTCGATATCTGAATTGAGCTTGCGGATGGTGACTTATTTAAATTAATTTGCTTTCTTTTTCATTTTTAAGGGGGGGGGCGGGGGGGGCGCGGAAAAAAAAAAAAAAAAAAAAAAAAAAAATAAAAAAAAAAAAAAAAAAAAAAAAAAAAAAAAAAATATTTTTTTTTTTTTTTTTTTTATTTTTTTATTTTTATAATATATAAAAATAATATTAATTTAAAAAAAATTAAATTTTTATTTTTTTTCTTCTCTGGGGGGGGGGGGGGGGGGGGGGGGGGGGGGGGGGGGGGGGGGGGGGGGGGGGGGGGGGGGGGGGGGGGGGGGGGGGGGGGGGGGGGGGGGGGGGGGGAAAAAAAAATTTTTTTTTTTTTTTGGGTTAAGATAAGTTTGGGTGGGGGGTGGGGGAGGGGGGGGGGGGGGGGGGGGGGGGGGGGGGGTGGGTTGTTTTTTTTTTTTTTTTTATTTTGTTGCCGGGGGGGGGTGGGTGTTTTGGGGGGGGGGGGGGGGGGGGGGGGGGGGGGGGGAAAAAGAAGGGGGGGGGGGGAGGAAAAAAAAAAAAAAAAAAAAAAATTGGTTTTGGGGTTTGGGGTTTTGTGGGGTGGGGGGGGGGGGGGGGGGGGGGGGGGGGGGGGGAGGGGGGGGGGGGGGGGGGGGGGGGGGGGGGGGGGGGGGGGGGGGAGGGGGGGGGGGGGGGGGGGTGTGGAGGGAGAAAAAAAAAAATTTATTTAAGGGGGGGAAATTTTTTTTTTCTCTTTTACCCAAAACACTTTTTTTAAAAAAAAAAAAATTCCCCCTTAATTTTTTTGTGGGTATAAAAATAAATTTAACCCAGCACTACTATTTCATTGAACAGCAGATATCATGGCTAGTTTTCTAAAGTCATGAAAAACAAGAAGATGGAATGCAAATGTAATGGGGTTTCTTCAAGTTTCTAATGCTTACATTCCAGGCTTTCCGTAAAGGTATCACTTGTTCAATTTGAAGGACTAGAAATATCTCAAAAAGAGTTTTGAAAGTAGTGAGGTGCGGCACTACTATTTCATTGAACACAACTGTATATACTTGTTGCGTGTAAGCCCATAAAACATATCGCGCGAAAGTATCGTATTTTTAAAGTTCCTAGTTTTTTTTGAACAAGGCGTCATTATAGGCAACAATTAAGTTGACATGCGTTTTTGTAGCTGAAACAATACAATCTTATAGAGTTTTGCCGCTATTTTCCCATTCTAAGCTGAGTAATCTAAAAAAAACTGACACGGCCCAAAACTTTGGGGCAGCAACGTTGCAAGCGGTAAAATGTGATGTGACTCACGATATAATTTTTTTTTAACGTTTCCTGAGCTTTTAAAGTCAATATAAAAAAGTCAAAAATAACGAGAAGAAACGTGCGAGTCGCTTCTGGCGACGCGACTCTACTTATACCCGTACTCAATCAGTATATACATTTTTGAGCTTATGATTTTTTAGAATTTAAAAATTAAAAAAAAAATTTTACATTTTACATTTTTTTGCTATATCTGTTATCTACATCTACATCTACATCTACAATGTATATTCCACATCTAACATGTAGATTGTACATGTACCATTTATATTCTACATCTCCTCCGCTAAGGGTTGCTCGCGCACTGAACGCGGCAGAGTGTGCGAGCGAGAAAGAGAATCAGTAGCGTCAGCAGCGCTGGAGAAGGAGAGGGAACCAACAGAAAATTAATTTCTTCATTCTGGCTATAATTATGATCCGATCTAGTTCAGATTCGGCAATCTGGTAGATATGGTCATTCTCTACGATACTGCGTTTTTAGTTTTATCGTATCTTTAAAAATGTGCCTGCCACAGATTTTCGTCCTTTGTGGGGGCGGAAGGGGGCGGGGCGAAATTTTGAAATACACTTGTAGCAGTGTGATATCACATGAGTCTGGGAACCAAATTTGGTTTCTCTAGCTCTTATAGTCTCTCAGATCTAGGCGCTCATCAAGACGGACAGACGGACGGACGGACGGACAGACGGACATGGCTATATCGACTCGGCTATTGATGCTGATCAAGAATATATATACTTTATGGGGTCGGAAACGTTTCCTTCTCTGCGTTGCACACATCCACTTTTACCACAAATCTAATATACCCCTTAACTCTTTTTTGAGTACGGGTATAAAAAAAATTTTACATTTTAAATTTTTTTGCTACATCTGCTATCTACATCTACAATGTATATTCTACATCTAACATGTAGATTTTACATGTTCCATTTAGAGTCTCCATCTCCTCCGCTAGGGGTTGCTCGCGCACTGAACGCGGCAGAGTGTGCGAGCGAGAAAGAGGGTTGGGCTATTGATGCTGATCAAGAATATATATACTTTATGGGATCGGAAATTTTGCATTTCATTTTTGCATTTGAAAGCTACATATTTCCTAGAGGAAAATCTGAAACCTCTTAGTAATTGAGCCCAATTTCTAGCTATATCAATTAGCTTTTCAGAATGGCAAAGTTTATTACAACCAGATGTAAGATACTTAAGTTATGTGAAAAAAAGAGGCGCTACCTCTTTAATTAGTTAAAAAAAAAAACCAGTTGTATGGTATTTTTGCACTATACAGCAAACCGTCAACCGTGATGAACCATGTCCGGCCGGTGCATGTTCGCAATGAAAACAATATTGATTAAAAACTAAATATTAAAGCTCAAGAAACATGAAATATATGTTTTCATTTGACTTTCGTTGGTTTTTCAGATTTTCTTAAAAAAATA